GCTTTTTCAAATACGACCGGATTGAGCCCACGGGCCGCCTGTTGATCACCACTGATGATGATGATGATGATGTTTTGATGGTTTCACATTAGGTTTGTCGTTGTGGTGGTGGGTTAGAAAGCCCCCCCTGGTGGCAGCAGTGGATCAGTGACACCCGAGTGTGTTCTGACAACCTCTATAAAAACGCCGCCTGTGATGATGTACTGTTGCCCCCCCCCCTCACTCCCCCCTCCCTCCACCTTTTTTTCATTACAAAGCACAACATTCAAATGAGAATTACAAGGAAACATGGATTTTCCACCGCGTCGTAAATTAAACGGAGGCGACGAAGAGTCGGGGGAAATTCATATGTATCAGAAAAAAAAAATCATCTTCATCATCATCATCATCATCATCACTGTCCAGTACAGATCAGCTAGGGTGGGGGCAGACAGAGGGTGGGGGCAGTCAGAGACTGGGTTTTGTTGTGAGAGGAACTGTTTGATTAAAGAGCTGAAGACACTCCCCCCAGTGGACAGATGGGGAGTCTACACCTCAGTGACCCACAGAGCTGTTACAGGTGAAGGTGGTTAAACTGGTCAGACGGGGATTCGACCTCAGAGCTGATGTGGGATCAGTTAATAACAGGTAATTCAACATGGCGGTTCATTCAGATTTCTGATAAAGTCTGGAAGAAAACAGAAGTACTAGCCCCTGCTGGCTGGCACTGGCATTACACCCAGAACAGCACGTTGAGACGACAAAAGCCAGACTTTAAAGAAACCACAAATCTATGTAACCAGTTTCGTCAACATGTTGGAAGAACGAAAAAACAAAAGACCAACCAGAGTGAAGAGACGACGACCAACGATAGACTGTAAATACGACCTGGACCAAGACACAAAAGAATCTTTACATTTTACTTTGTTTATTTTATTTTTGGTTCAATAGTCTGGTAACGTGGACCTGTTGTTATCAGCGGCTCCGCCCAGTTTTTATTTACGGTCCACTGAAATGGAACGACTGAGAAACGAGGACAGAACCTCAGCTCACCACAAAGGAACATGTTTGCTAACGTTCCCGCTCCTGTCAGTGATAAACACAAGGTGCTGTACGTGTGTTTGACCCCCCGACCCTTGTCCCCCCCACTGTATCTTCATCACCAGAACCAGACTCAGTGGCACCCCCGCTGCACAGCATGAGAGCAGCAGGGCAGGTGAGCCGTGGAGTAGAACCGTCCAACAAGGACGTAGTGATGAGACGGAGGGGGGAGACGAGCTGGAAACGGGGGAGTCGGGAGGTGGGGGGGGGTACAGGGACGTCAATGAATGGAGTCGCCAGAGGGAAGAAAACCAGGCTGGAGCTGCGGAGGATTGAGGTGGAATGATGGCAGGAAACGTCCAGGCGGGGAGTCGGGAAATGGAGGAAGTGTGAGGAAGAGAGGAGAGAAAAAAAAAAAAAGAAGGAAAAAAACAAACAAACAAAACAACAGTGAAAGGCAGCTCCACTGGAAGAATGGGAGGATGGGAGGATGGGAGGATGGGTACACAAGGTGAAACCAAGCCTCTCACACTGGTCGCTGTGTGTGGTCTCCTAGCAACACTGTCAGCCACGGATCTCTGCCTCCGCCACTAAATATGCACAGAGCAGCACGTCAGTCCTGACATACGTACGTGATGAACCTGGGGTTTGAACCTCACTGCCGCCGCCCTGGTGGGCGGGGCTGATCCTCCCATCACAACAGCACAAATGTAGTCCAAACCACCGACACATGTAAATCTAATTATATCTCCACGACCTGGACGTCATTAAGCATCACACACATACACATACACACACACGCAGCCGTGGAACAGACTTCCGGGAATATTTTTAGGTTCTAGTCTCTTCATCAGTAGAATATAGAAGTACTGTAGTAGAAGTACACATTTATATTTACATATTCAGCCGATGCTTTTATCCAATGTGACAAGAGGAGAATTAACAATCAAGCACGTGGTTCCTCTGGGAATCAAACCCAGGACCCTCTGTGCTCTGCTTCCGAGGCAGGCGTGCTAACCGCTACGTTATGGAAGCGACCATAAACCAACATAAAAACAAAGATGGGACGAGGATCAAAATAGAGAAATGAAAGAGAAATGTGAACATTTTGAGGTCAAAGATATGTGCTGCACAATAGTGAGGTGTTTAGCTTTTTTGCCTGACATCAAGAGTGTCAACAGTTCGATCCCTGTCGGGAGGAGGATTTGTTTACAGTGAACACGATCTCGCTGTGTTGTACTTCAAAACCATTCAGTGTCAGGTCAGGACGGGGTGAGACGCCCACGTCAACAACGTCCCCTCATTCAGCTAATTCAGGCCGCAACAAAACGCATGAAC